CTTGGACTTTATCCTGAGGACAGTGGGGAACCACAAAAGGTTTAAAGCAGGAAACTAACATAGTCAATTCCATATGGAACACCTGACTGAGGACATTAAAAACAGCAGAATAGAAAGCAGTCAGGCTTAGTGGCACATGCCTGTAATCCTAGCACTTGCAAGGTGAAGGCCCAGGAGCTCAAGGTCATCCTGTGTTACCTAGTGAGTTTGAGGACAGTTGGAGTACATGAGATCCTGTCTCAAAACAAACTAATAAAAAAATGCAGACGGGGGCTGGAGAGATGGCTCAGAGGTTAAGAGCACCGACTGCTCTTCCAGAGGTCCTGAGTTCAATTCCCAGCAACCACATGGTGGCTCACAACCATCTGTAATGAGATCTGGTGCCCTCTTCTGTATACATATAAATAAATAAATCTTTAAAAAAAAAAAAAAATGCAGACGGAGTTAACATATTAGGTGGGTGAAAAATACTTCACAATAAGTTATCTTGGCTTCAGGCAGTCCGACCTAGAAAGCTTGAATATGAAACTAGGAGGCCAAATGCTACATCAGCTCTGCAAACTTTTGTCTGAGACAGGTTTACCAACCAGTTCACATGATCCCACTATTCTATAAGGTCCACAAAATTTGATCAGTTTACCTCCCCATTGCCATAAAACTTTAAGCAACTCCAGCCCCATCTGGAGACACACGCTCATAATTTAGATTGAAAAAGTGGACCCAGTCTACCCTCCCTCCAGTTATGAACACCTGAACCATTGGGCTGAGGAGCTAGAGAGATAAAACAGGGGCTAAGAGCATTTGCTGTTCTTCCAGAGGACCTGGATTCTGTTCCCAGCACTGACATAGAGGCTCACAGCCATCTGTAACTTCCAGGGGATCTGATGTCCTCTTCTGGGTCGACAGGCACAAGGCACACTTGTAGTACACATATATAAAAGTAGGCAAGACACTCATGTACATAAAGTCAAAATAAAAAAAATCTTTAAAAAAATCAAAACCTGGCTAGGGAAGCAAAATGTAGACTCTGGCCTGTCAATTCCAACACTTCATAAGGGACCACCGAGAAGCTACAGATGGTTTGAAATCCACCCATTTATTTATTAAATGCTCAGCAACAGATCTTTTTTCCCCAGACATTGAGTACCTGAGAATATCTAGGAAGGGGTCATGTTGCAGGGAAGGCTTCTGGTTTGGGGTAAACTAAAACTCTAACACAGAGTGGTAACGGCTCAACAGACATAAAAACCAATGGTAGGAAATGAGTCACTATCGTTGTAAGAAAGGCAGAGTGGACTGTGGGGAGCAGGGGGTGGGGAGAGAGCGAAATGGCTAGGATCCTGTAGGCCGTGAAGGTTCCCCCAACACACATACACAAAGGCTCCCCTCCTCAGGTATGCATACTCTTTTCACTGCTTTCCAGCTAGGGCCAAAATCCCCCCCACTCCCACCCCACCCCCCGAAAAGCTCCTGATCATCATCTACTCCATCTGCAGATCTCTCAGGGGGCCTGCAATACAGTACAGTAGATAGGATCTCAGAGTGGACAGAGACTCTGGGGTCTCTGCAGATCTCTCGGGGGCCTGCAGTACAGTAGAAAGGATCTCAGAGTGGACAGAGACTCTGGGGTCTCTGCAGATCTCTCGGGGGGGCCTGCAGTACAGTAGAAAGGATCTCAGAGTGGAGAGAGACTCTGGGGTCTCTGCAGATCTCTCAGGGGCCTGCAGTACAGTACAGTAGATAGAATCTCAGAGTGGACAGAGACTCTGGGGGTCTCTGCAGATCTCTCAGGGCCTGCAGTACAGTACAGTAGATAGGATCTCAGAGTGGACAGAGACTCTGGGGGTCTCTGCAGATCTCTCGGGGGCCTGCAGTACAGTAGAAAGGATCTCAGAGTGGACAGAGACTCTGGGGTCTCTGCAGACCCTTTCCCCTTCTGCATAAATCATGGCCCAGGCCTGAGAATCAAAAGCAACCTTTTTCTTCGTCTGTTGCCACAGGCCTGGGGTGGGACTCTACTGCTGAAGCTTCTCCTGTGCCTCAGAGCCATGGATGGTACAGCTTAGTTCAGCCCCGTCCCTTGTTTCATACTAGGGGAAACCAGGAACCTTCAAGTTTAGACATTCTTCCTCTCTGTGCCATATAGCACCCCCCCACTTCCCCCACCCCACCCCCCACCCGGCCCCGGCCCCTGCTCTAAACCCTTATTTTAGTTTGCTGGACCTGCTCTCTGCCTCTATGCCAGTGCAGGCCACAGAGAAAAAAGACTGCCCCCGAGCAGCTTTCAATTTGGGTGGATAGGTTAAGACCAGCCAACCACAACTTCAAAACATCAGTTACTAAAGTCAGCACACAGTAATGAGAACCCAGGCCATCACTTTGTCTTCTCCTGCTGGACTAAGGAGGATTCCCCACAAGCTGGAAGCCAGCGTGGTCTACATAGCAAGTTTCAGGCCAGCCAGGGCTACATAACAAAACTCTATTGAAAAATAAGAACAAAAAATATTTGTCACTGAGGATATAGGTACTGGCTGGTTTTGTGTGTCAACTTGACACAAGCTAGTCATCAGAGGAAGGAGCCTCGGTTGAGGAAATGCCTTGATGAGATGCAGCTGTAAGGCATTTTCTCATTTAGTGATCAATGGGGGAGGACCCAGCCTGTGGTGGGTGGTGCCATCCCTGGGCTTCTGGTCCTTGATTCTGTAAGAAAGTAGACTAAGCAAGCCAGTAAGCAGCACCCCTCCATGGCCTCTGCATCAGCTCCTGCCTCCAGGTTCCTGCCCTGTTTGAGTTCCTGTCCTGACTTCCTTCAGTGATGAACAGCAATGCTGAAGTGTAAGCCTAATGAACCCTTTCCTCCCCAACTTGCTCTTTGGTCATGATGTTTCATCACAGCAATAGAAACCCTAACTAAGACAGTCAGTTACGAAACTGCTTCCTGGCATTCCCCAACCTCCGGATTCAATCCCCAGCACAGCATAAAGCTGGAAGTAAAAATAAATTCTAAAAAGAAAAACCTGTACACGGGGCTAACAAGATGGCACTCACCACACAAGCCTGATGACCTGAGTTTGATCCCTGGAAACCACATAAAGATAATTGATTCCACAAAGTCACCCTCGATATCCAGATGCATCCTCACACAGAGTAATAAACAATAAACAAACAAAAATAATAAATACATATAAATAAATAAATAAAGGCTAGCTTGGACTGCACAGGATACTATTACAAAACAAAAGAAAACAAAAAGACTCCCATAATGTGATACGCTAAGGAGAGTGCTTCAATCAAGGACATGAATGGTTGGAACTACTACTAGTCTAGGAAGAGGTTGGGAACTCTAAAGTGAATTATTCTAAGGAGAGACTAGGAGAAGACAACGGCTTCAGGCTTGACTGGGCCTCTCAAGTCAGTCCCAGATCTTGGTTGGGCAGGTCACAGAGTCCAAAGTAGACATCATTAGAATATGCTAATGCTAATGAAGAAACCGTCTGAGGTTGAGAACCAACACATTCATCCAGGATCTTTGCCAGCTATCCCCCATCATTGGACACATACTACCTAGCCCCTCCTCAGCTGGCTTTAAGCCTCTCCCCAGGGTCCTCAGAGCTCCTCCCACTCCCTCCCCCTCAAAGCAACCCAAATCTTAGCAGCACTCTGCCCTTGTCTCTGCTTCCTGTAGCAGAGAAAATGGATCTGACCTTGCCAGGGGAGGGGCTTCCCCAGGAAAACCACACTAGGGGGAGAAGAGGCTTGACATCACTGCCCAGGACCACTTAGACCGCATGTGATGCTTTGTCCCCAGAATCCTCTTCCAGCATGCCTGGAGGAAGTGGTCCTCTGGGGCCTTGATCTTCCTACCTCCAGTCTTAAGTTTGAGGAAAAGTAAAGGGGGAATTTTAAGACAGGTTTAGTAGAAACAGACAACTCCAAATACCAACTTTCTAAATCTTGATGGCTGAGAACAGACCAAGACTGTCTTCCTCCTTAGCAGGGAGGTGGGGGTGTGGAGGTGGGATGGGGTAGGGGGACGCTACTCTGATAGCAGTCTCTCAGCAAGCAGAAACACATAGCCACAGAAGACAATTGATTACTAGAAGTGAGTTACCCAAGGTCAAAATGCAAGGGGCTCTGAGAGGCCCCTGGGAGTACGGCATCCTTATCTACCAAAGAAGAGCAAGTGTGGGTATCGATGGGAAAAAAGGCAAGCCTAACTAACTAACACTTGGATTCAGAGACAGGCAGGGCCAGGGGCCCAGGCCGGCACAGGGCCATGAGGCAGTCCTAGGGAACTTGGGGGGAAAGGCAGGTTTGGTCTAGAGGGGAGTCCTCCCCCCACATAGCCTGGCAAAAGGAAGGTCACACAGCCTGTTTACAGCAGAGGAAGCAGGGGTGGGGCAGGGCAGGGACCTTTGGTCAGGCCACCCCTCCCAGCAGGGGAGTGGGGAGGCCCCAATAAATGTGGTGGTGGTGGTGGCTGTTTGTTTGCTGCTCACTGCCAGGAGGAAATTAACCTACCACTTCCTTCCACCTCAAATGGGATTGGGGTGGGGAAAGTGACAGTGTGATCTGTGAATGCTGCATTTCACAAAAGCCAAAAGGCTGCCATCAGCACCCCCAGGTGTCCCCTGCCCTGAGCAGACACTTCCTCCATCAGGTCTGAGCTCAGATTAGTTGTAAGGCATAAAGGAGACTCTGGGGCCCTTACCCCCGCCACTCTACTAGGTTGGCCCTTTACTGGGGTACCAGATACCCTTGTTTTTCCTGAGGTTACACAGAGCCTTTCATCAGGAAAGTCAAATGATGATTAACACCTCAGGTTTCCCACCATTAAAATGGTTTTCTTGGTCCTTTTCTGCTTTCACCAAAATCCAGGGGACCCCAAAGGTCCACTCATCCCCTACAAGCAAGAGGCACGCCTTGGGACTCTCCAGCTCTGCACAGAGGGTAGAAGTACAGTAATTATGCCAGGATGTAGTCCAAGGCTGAAACAGTAGGCCATGGGTGAAAGTCAGTCTGTCTTTATTGCACGGTACCAATGTCAAGTTAGAGGTGCGGCCTGAAAACCTTGTTTTCAAAAAACTATTCAGGTCACTGGGAACTTGGCTTACCACTGAGACCTATGAGAGGAGACAGTATTACCACTGGACACTCCTTGGCACTTGTTTCAGACTGAGGGCCTGGGTCAAGAACCCTAACTTCAATGGCAGGGGCCAGCAAACTGTCCAATGGCTTCTGGTTTAGGCCCCAGCACCCATAACCACCTTCATATCAGTTCCCCACACTGGTGACCAGGGCAGGGACAGTAGTCAACATCCTTCCAGGAGATTATCTTCACTAGTTCCCAGGGTTACAAATGGCTTCTTGCATTTCTCCCCAGGTAGTGCTGGCTCCTGAACTCTGGGGCCTCCAGGATCTTGGTCAGGGGCCTCTCGCTTGCGCTTGTTCAAGGAGGGGCTCTCCTCACCCAGTCGACCCTCAGGGAGGCCCTGGCTCCGCAGACAGACAATGGCTGCAGTCTGCTCCGCTAGTTTCTTGGACTTGTCCCTGGGTAAATGAAGCAAAGATTCACAAAGCAAGTCAACAGCAGGACTACAGCCTTGAAATCCTGAGTTTCATCCTTTGAAGAGATCCCGATAAAACCGGCGCCCTCACAAACTATACACCCAACTCCCCAAGACCAGAAGTAGACGTGGATGCCTACACCAGTCTCCTGCCATCCGAGGAGGAACTCACCACAGTGTGGACTGGTACTTCTGTTCTGCAACAGTGACAACAGAGCAGAACATGCGATCTACAGGGCGTTGCACCTGGGGAGAGAGCAAAGGAAAGAGTAGATCGCCCACCTGCCGCATCACATGCAGGACACTCACATGACAGGGAAGTACTTCTAACTTAAGGCAAATGAGGCTGCCTGATCACATGCTCCGCCCATGTGAAAGTACCTGCTGCATCTTTGAAGGGGAGGGGGGAGGGGGAGGCAGTTATGCAAATTGACAATGATATGAGTGTGTCAGAGCTCTGTCACTGAACTAAACAAAGGACCATAAGAACCGTTATCTGACTAGGGGCCTCTGCCTGCTGACTTCTATGTGGGCCAGTTCCCAGCAGAAAGGAGTTCACCAGATGGCAAAGGGACGGGGGGGGGGGCAAAGCAGATAGTTAGTGAAGGGCTCAGGGGATGTGGCTGGAGAAGAAAGCTGAGTGGAGGAGATAAAACAGCAAGGTTTTAGGGGTCTTGTGTTCTGGGGAGCTGGAAACCTGAACAAGAGACAGAGGTTCAATTTGTTTTTCAAATGTCACTCTGGTAGAGGGGACACAAGGCCCAGAAAGTGTAAACCTGGAGGCCAGAAGGCCAGTACGAAAGAGAGAGCAGCCACAGGAACCAAAGGAAGTGAAGCAAGACCATCTCAAGGTTTCCACCCCAGGGGCCGTATGTGTGGGCATAATTCTGTGCCCCACTGGCTGAAGCCCAATCCACGGATATATCTGCCAGAATTGGACAACAGCCCAAGGTCGGAGGTAAGAGGCTATCTGCAATTACTCCTACTACTAGCAACTTATGCACATCTACGGGAATCAAGTTCAGATGCTAACAACGCAGCCTAGCGCTGAGCATTTAAGCTATGAGTGTACTGGGGTGATGATGCCAGTGCAGGAAGCCCTGTGGTTGGATGCCAGACAGGCAACAGACAGCAAAACTCACTGTTTCATACACAGGCTGTGGCAACTTCTCTCTCCGACACCATTCCAGCAGGCACATCTTGGGGGTAATTTGGGGTGGGTATGCTCTCCTAGGGAAAGGAGGAGAAACAGTTAAGGCCCATTCACCATATCTGCTCTATCCCTTAGCAAGAGCCACCAATCAGCCACTGCTAGGTGAACTGGAGAAACTGAGACATCAGGTAGCTGCCCCAGGGCTTTTTTACAGACTCTCTCCCTGTTCTACCAGGAGTTGCAGTCTAGGTCTTAATCTAAAGGGAAGATGGGCTTCTACATGCTTAGAACCATAAGGAGTGCATGTGTGAGAACTCGCAGTTCTCTGTGCTGCAGCCTGGAAAACAGCCTTCAGGAGGCAGGAAAGAAGGCTCACTTTGCCCTTCAAGATGAGATTGGAGGGGATGGGTGGAGTAGGAAGGGAGGTGGTCCTACAGTGGGCTGAGAGCTCTAGCTTAGTGCCCACCATGAGTCCATCCTACCAGTCAGGGTTATCTGCTCTGCTACAGACACGATAAACTCCGGCTTCAGAGCCAGTCCACGACAGGGTGAAAGGGACATGTTCCTTTTTCCACTGGGAACTCCCTCTGGCATATGACCACCCAATGGCTGTCCTCTTAACCCCACCTCAAGCCCTGGCCAGAGGAGGCCGGCTCCGGGTCTGGGTATGGAGACTAGAGAAGGCTCAGACCCAGATGGCAGGGGACAAGAATGAGGGCACCATTCAAAGCCGGGTCAAAATGTGAGGCAAGAATCAGACTAAGGCTACTTCTGTCTAGAGAGGGCGCCACTGGCCTGGTGAGCGGCCGTGGTGTAGGCAGGGCACAGAGTCAGGTAAAGTCAATGTTCCTACGACCACTGAGGAGCTTCAGGGGAAAAGCACAGGCTGAGGAACAGTCGACCTATCTTGCTGTCCCAAGTTGTGAAAGGGAATGAGTGGGTCAGGAAATAAGTGAAGTTCAATTCTGTCTGTCTTAGGAAAATATGCCCCCACCAATACTGCCTGGGCTTTCGGCGACAGTCTTCCCTGAAAACACCTTGGAGGGGGGGGACGAAAATAGGATCAGGAGTTCAGGGTCATCAACAGCTACATAGAAAGCTCAAGGTTAGTCTGGGCTACATGAAACCCTGTTTTAAATAATACAGTAACAAAAATCTGGGTGTAGTGGTACACACATAAAATCCCAGCACTCGGGAGGCAGAGGCAGGCAGATCTCTGTGAGTTTTAGGCCAGCCTGGTCCACAGAGTGAGTTTCATGACAGCCAAAGCTACAACAGAGAAACCTGTCTTGGAAAAAAAAAAAAAAAATACAGTAATAAGTCTTAAGGTGGTACATGCCTTTAATCTCAGACCTCTGGAGGCAGAGGCAAGTGGATCTCTGTGAGTTCAAGGCCAGCCTGGTCTACATAATGAGTTCCAGGATAGCCAGAGCTATGTAGAGAGACCTTGTCTCAAAAACAAAACAAAAAACTGTAACAAAAAAGCACCTTCTGCCGGGTGGTGGTGACACATGCCTTTAATCCCAGCACTGGGGGGGAGGGGGGCACAGGAAGGCGGATCTCTGTGAGTTTGAGGCCAGCCTGGGCTACAGAGTGAGTTCCAGAAAAGGCACCAAAACTACACAGAGAAACCCTGTCTCGAAAAACCAAAAAAAAAAAAAAAAAAAAAAAAAAAAAGCACCTTTTTGGGAAGCTGAAGACTGGGGACAAGTATCCACACTAAGGAGACCTGTAGTTCCTAAGCTTGAAATATAACATATTCACATATAACAGCCACTAAAACCACTAGGCAACTGGCCCTGGAATATACTAGAAACCTACCGGTCAAACCTGATGGCCATCTTAATGATGCCGGAAGTGTCTTCAGCTGGCTCTTCAACCCCCTCTGGAGTCTTAGCCAAAAGGTCAGCTCGCCGGGCATCTAGCTCCCGAATGGTCTCCTCATAGAAGGCACCAAGGCCAAAGGCCTCACTATGGAAAAAGAGGTGGAACAGGATAGAAATCATAGTGGAACAGCATCCAAGGTACTGCAGGAGCCCATTACCCAACCACAAAGAAACTCCTGCACCACACAGGGTCTGAGCATCAGAAGGTGTTTCCTACACACCCTAGCATCTGCCTAGAGTGGAAAGTAGAGAATGAATTTGAATCTTTGAATGTGAACACTGGAGGGAGATTGGGCTGCGGAGAAAAGAATCCAGAGGTTATTCCCCACGATTCGCAGCCCTCTTCCATGGATGACCACACAGATGGATGTACCGAACCAGCCAGGCATGGCAGAGCTGACCAACACTGATGGGATGGATCATCCTCATGAGGGCCCATGGGTGCAAAAGACAAGGGCCTGAGGACCGATTGATCCCTCATTGCCCATAGCTACCATGGACCTAGTCTGAACCACTCAGAGCTCCAGAGTCACATTCTGTTCTAAAATTCAAATACACTATGTTCAGCTGCTTGGCCTGTACGGATGGGGCAGAACCAGCAGCACAAGCCAAGGATGGAAAAAGGCTTCTGGAAGAGCTTTCCCTTCTAGAAAAAACCCATGCACGTGGGTCCCTGAAGGCAAGTATGATTCAGAAAGCCTTAGAGGAAGGAAGGTACCAACAGTCAACATGAGGAGACAAGACCTTTAAGACAGAGGACCTGAACGTGAGTTATGGGAACAGTAGACTGGAAGCCAAAAGAACCGGGACAAAGCTGGGTTGCCAAGGACCGCCAGGTGTTAGTTACCTGATCTAAAGCTGTACTAGATCTAAAGGACCCAGAGGTAGTCTCGTTGACCAGGATAATGGGTATAGGTGTATGTCAAGAGCTCCATTCTAAAGCCTTGTCTCTCTTGACCACTTGGTTTTGTTAGCCTGGCAGGCAATAGGCCCATTATCAGAAAAACTTCTTCCTCAGGAATTCCCAGGCCTATCTTTTGCATTCCTCCATTCTAACAGTACCCTAGTTACCAAACTGCTGCTAAGATCAGTTGAAGAATGGAAGGTTTCAAAGCTGTGAAAGTCCCCCCGCTTCTATGAAGCAAAACTATATTACCACCCCACTCCTACACATACACATTCAGAAGCTGTGACCCTGGCCCTTCAGCAAAATAAGCTTAGGGATCAAGGTCAAGTCTGGGTTAAGTCTGCAAGAATAGATGGTAGACCATTGTACTCTTACCAAATTTCCTGGGAAGACTGGGCAGCATGGAGCAACCTTCCCTGGGGCGACTCCAGCTGTTCCCGAAGCATCTGGCACAAGCAGTATTTGGTGTTCGTGTAGTGGTTATCATACTGCACCGCCTGAGAGGAGAACTAGCATGAGCCCACCTGTTACCAGAAAACACTGGGATCTGAGCTGCCAATGGGAAGGATAAGGGCTCTAAGAGGGCATGAGAGGTGTGCTTACAGCCAAGCCTATGGGACCCCACATAAGAACTACTTCAGCCCTGCCATCCATTCCTCCCGCTGTCACACAAAGTTTGAACATAAAGCTAAGGCTCATGTTCAACAGCACAGCCACCTAGACAGCCTGACTGAGGGATAAAAGTACAAAGAATCAACCCATGCTTCAGTCACCACAGGCTGCCACAGGGAGTCTAATGCTGAGCATCTTCTGGGGCAGAGAAAAGGAACACACCAAATTTTGGCAGGGCAAATCCAGCCCTAGGACAGAAGTAAGATTTCTATTCCTTATAACCAGGATCAACTATATCTGGACTAACCTCTCTCCCACTTCCCCTACATGGGTGGGGCACAACCCCGTCTACTAAGCATGTTCATACACATGACTTATCAATTTGTATATCTATACAAAGATAAGTACAGTTGTTACCTTACTCTATAGCCTGAGAAGTGAGGCCGAGAGAAGCAAGATGGCTACCCAGAAATAATACCATAGATGTTTACCCAGCTAGGTGCAGGGCAGGAGAACAGCCAGAAGTAAAGGCTTTATAGACAGGCCTCCAGAACCCCCTCCAAGCGCTCACCCCCTACACTTGTAGAATCTCCTCTAGGCCTGTCTTCAGTGCCTAGGAAGGTGCCATGGCATGCTCAGGAGAAGGTATGGAATAAGTGAGTAAGTTCCAGCCAGGGGCAGAACTATGATTCAGCTTGTCTGGCCCAGAAAGCACCTGATCAGACCAGAAGCATCCATGTTGATGCTTGAGGCTACTCTCTTTCTCTAGGACAACACACCCTCTTGAAAGCTGCCAAATGATGGCTGAGCAAGAGTGATAGCATCACCTTTCACCTAGTAAGCAGGCTCAGCACTGCTGAACATTGTCTTCTCTGCCACACGCTTGCCAGGTGGCCAGAAGAGCTGGACAGCTGACCTGGGTTGAGCAGGCCCTTTGTCTGCAGCTGACTTAGACTGCTGAAGAGCTGACAGTCACCAACCCATGCTCCAGGACACCCAGAACCAAAGGGTACGGACAGAAGCTGCCAGGAACTGGACTCACGCCTCATCCTACCGTCCCAGCTTGACAGTCATGAAAAGCACCCGAATGCCGCAGCTTGAGGAGAGCATGAGGAACCCCAGGCATTAGTGAGCCTTGAGACTGAAAAGGGAGGTGGAAAACTGCCCCGGGAGAGGGCTGGAACTTCTGCTCAGATCCAGCTCACGGAAGAACTTTGAGGACAACTTATTGTCTCTGCCCAACATGTACGTGCGGCCCAGTATAGAACCCCACTGTCCCTGGGACTGTACCCAGTGAACTCATCAAAAAAAAAAAAAAAAAAAATCCTTTAACACAACTACTACACTCATAGTGAGAAGACACTGGTTTAGAAAAGGCTATTCTCAAGCATGTGGTGGCACATGCCTGTAATCCCAACATGTAGGAAGTAGAGGCAGGAGAATAAGGGATTAGAGGGCAGTCTGGGCTATGAGACTCTATGTCAAATAAAATGTAAAAGAAAGAAAACGTGCAAAGACTTACATATCTGATGTACTTCTGCATGACTTCCTCCAGGGGACGAAGGCCATCCTTGAGGAAGATAGAGGGGTTCCACATGGCTGCTCGAGCCACCATCACTGAAGAGGCAGCCGTAGCTTGTCGAAAGTCCTCTATGTCCAGATGTTGCTGGATGTGGTCATGAGATCCTCCACTAAAAAGCAACAGGGGCATAGGAAGAGTCCCATAATGGAATGCACCAGTATTTCCAGAAAAAGGTGATTTCCAGATCTGGCATTCATTATTAGTATGGCTTTAGCCAAGTCCCTTCAACTATGAGAACTTTAACAAAGTGATTATAAAGCACTGGTAAGTGAGAAACATAAAGTAATACATAAAATAGCCTGAACTATCCATGTCTGTCATTAAAGAGGTATTTTAGAAATTTGACTTTTCCTCTCTACTCCCCAAAACAGTGGCCAAAGGCAGATAATATCTAAAGATGTAGGACTAAAACTGAGTTATTAGCTGGTACAGTGATATACACCTGTAATCACAGCATCCAGGAGGTTAAGGCAGAAGAAGCCTGTCTTCAAGGTAAGCCTGGGCTACCTAGCCAGTCCTAGACCAGCATGGGGCAACACAGTAAGACGTGTCTAAAATATAAAATTAAAAAACAAAGACAAAAAACCCTGTGGAATTGCGGCCACAGGAAAAACTCCAAGCTGGGAAGTCATCCAGAGACCCTCTAAGGACTAGGTCAAAATCCTAGACTGAGGGAAGGGCACACTCACTGAGGATCACGGTGGGAAATGAGGGGACTCAGTTTGGTCATAATCCTCCTCCTTCCACCCTGCTGCTCTAAGAAACTTTTCTGTTCTCAACTACTTCATCCAGAGTCAGGTAGCAGTCTCAGGCCAGAGACACCTGTGCTGGGGAGAGCCCTGCGGTGACAGGAAAAGCAACCAGCTCCAAAGTCGTGAGTCAGTCCTCAAAGTCACCTCTAAAATTTCTCTCTCTGAGTACATAAGGCCTAGCAGCCACCCCATCATTACTTCTTCCTCCCACTAGTCAGAGGGAACTTTTCTCAGGACTTCCCTGTTTCCAATGTCCAAGCTCCCTGAGTCTCTGTGCTTTCCTGAGGTACAAGGCTACGCTGGACACCTAGGTGGCCAACACAGACGACTGGGTATAGTCTTACTATTAAATCTTTGGAGTGGTCATCAGAACCCCACACTTGCTAGCATAAGTGCCTGTAGTTGCCCAGAATGCTTGTTTGGATCTTTCTTTTCTTTCCTTTCCTTTTCTTTTCTTTTCTCTTCTCTTTTTTCTTTCTTTCTTTCTTTCTTCCTTCCTTTCTTTTTTTTTATTTTTATTTTTTTTGGTTTTTTCAAGACAGGGTTTCTCTGTGTAGCTTTGCGCCTTTCCTGGAGCTCACTTGGTAGTCCAGGCTGGCCTCGAACTCACAAAGATCCGCCTGCCTCTGCCTCCCGAGTGCTGGGATTAAAGGCGTGCGCCACCACGCCCGGCCCCCGGCTAAGTATTTTTAATATAGTATTTTATCATAATCATTGCCATTTGTTAACATGTCAATAAAATTAATTTTCAAAGGTGTAAAATGTTTCCAATATATGTATATGGAATGAATTTAGCATTTTTTTTATTTCTATTAGTAGCATCTAACTTGTTTCCAGATTGCTAGTCTAAGAAACAATGCAACAATAAATATTACGTTTAAAAATTTTCTGTGATTATGCTTATTTCTCCAATATACATCTTAGGAGCCAACTTTTATTTCTTGGAGAAAAATCTTCAATTATCCATTACAGCAGCTTGATCATACCAAGTCAAGGAAGAAATAAAACACTCACAAATTAGGAAGAAAAAAAGAACTAATCCTTCTGCAAACTAGACTGGATGGTAACCCCAGAATATACGCTTCAGACATCAGAAAACTAAGAAAAATCTTTATCAGAAAAACAGCAAACTATCTTGCCAGATAACCTGTATCTTCCTCAGCTTATAAACCATAATCTCCCATGACTTTGTGCAGAGACTGCCCCACAGTTTACCTAGGATGGCAATCTCCTTCTGAGGGGCATTCACTCTCTGCTGCACATTCTAGTTGCTGGAATCCATAGTGCTCCTCCCCTTCTTTCCTGCCAAGTTCATCCAGATTCCTCATGAAAACATCACACATTGACTGATGGTCAGGAAAAAAATGTGAACTCTGATAGACTATCTAACCTTTATTAAATAATAAAATTCCTCAAATTCCACAGTTCAGCTATCACAACAAATAGCAAGCGTTTGGCCGTAACTATGTACTAATCACAAAAATACAGAAGTAAACCTGAAGAGCTCACAATCTAATAGGGGAGGCATACAAATTAATAAATGAATCCAGAACAATGCAATACATATCGTAAAAGGGAAGGACAGATAGAGAATTCAGTGAGTAAGATGCTTGGTGTATGAACATGAGGATTCAAGTTTGAATCCCCAGCACCCACTTAAAAAGCTGGATTTGTACACATACTTCTGTCATCCCAGCACTCTGAGAAGTGAAGACAAAAAATTTGCTTAGAAATACTTTAACTGCCAGTGTCGCTCCAGGTTCAAGGAGAGACTATTTTTCAGGGCAGTACAACAGAAAATATTTGAGGATAAAAGGAGCACCAGAAAGTGGAATGGAGCTAAATTCTATGTTCAAGGAGATAAACAGATTAAGAAATGGAATAAAGGGAGTGGTGACTTCAGGGCAAGATCTCACCCAGCTAAGTTTCCAACTTGTTGAAAGGAATTGAAGAAAAGCTTAGAGCAGGGTGTGTTGGTACACACCTTTAGTCTCAGCACTCATAAGGCTGAGGCTGGTGGATCTCTGCGTTTGAGGCCAGGCTGGTCTACAGAGCAGTTTCAATGACAGCAAAGCTTAGGCAGTGAAGGAAAGCAGAAAACTGGGGAAGACATAATTGAACAAGGGGCAGGGGGCACATTCCAGCCTGAGCAAGCAGCAGAACTTGGCAACTTTGGCCACATGGTTCTGATTTAGAGTTAAAGATAGAAGAAAGTGACTACAGAATTTGCCTCCATGACCAAGAAAAGTCCTTGAGGCCAGGTTGCTGTGGGATGGTCTGTATGTCAAATCTGTTGCTCTGATTGGTCAATAAATAAAACACTGATTGGCCAGTGGCCAGGCAGGAAGTAGGTGGGACA